ATTGGCCGATTACCTCAAGCGTGTGATGGGAATGTTACACCCTTTACCATACTGTGAAGCCGTGTCCCAGCGCTACAAGACAAAACCAATAAAACCCATTACAAACATGGCATTTGTTGCATCCAGTGGGGACATAATTATGGATTATAATGACTTATACTGTCTTTTTACACGTTGCGTTGCATCGCGCCGCGTAAACATAAAACCATGTCTGCATTTGTGATCGGAGAAATGACAAACAACAAGTGCTACTCTACACTGCTCAAAACTCGCGTTTGAATCATCAGTGGAAAATTCTTTAAATATGAACACGTACTTACAGTCTGTGAGTCAGAACAGCCGTCATTGTAGTCTACTCTCCCAGGATCAGGAAACAGTTCTCCATAAAATGTGCTGCACACATCTGAATATTTGGGTTGAACTCTTCTGGAACAATGTTGTAAATACAACTTAACCACTGATTTCTAGTCGTGTCCTCTTTTGGAAGGCCAAACAAAGTGTAGTTTTGCTTTTGCAACTAAACACACAGAGTCTTCACAACATTGTGGCGGAGGTGGCAGCAACAATAAAGTTACACCTTCTTTCTTTGCATGATCATTTGGGCGGTGTTATGCAAATCTTCCCACATCGTGAGGTAGACGTGGGGGGGTGTTTGAACGAGGCGTTTTAGGAGGGCATGGACAAGTCTTAAAGTTTATAGAGAATATCTCTTTGGGTTTGAGACTTTAGTCTTTGCAACTTTAGGGATCTTATCTATTCACGAACAGCTTGTAACACTCCAAAGAGAAAGGAAAACTTTAAATCGCATCATATGACCCCTTTAACTAAAACTAAAATCATAAAAATATAGAGATGCACCGATATGAAATTTCTCAGCTAATACCGGTAGCCGATTATTCAGAATTCCATCTGCCGATACCAGTAGTCAGTGAAAAAAATCTCTTACAACTAATGCCGTAAACTATATAGGGAACTCTCTCTTTTGGTAAAATAGAGGTTAAAATGAACAAAAACACTACTAGATTCAATGCTATTTATTTTCATATATAATAATCGTTTGTATACAACTCAATTGCACATAAGGTAGTTTTCATAAAAACTTGCCTTCATGACAGATTTATTCAAATAAACATACATAACTAACAGTAATTATGCTCCCTCTAGTGTTTATTTATAGCTAACTAACTAACTGTGAACACTGGGTAACTTTCCTAAAGTAAATGAATAAATGAGGTGATGTTGTTCACAAGCTGTTTTATTTGATGTCTTTCTTTCGGTTGAAATGCTGTTTGAGCGATTATCTGAGACATGATATCTTTAAACATACGTTCTGATGTTCATTCACACTATAACTTTTATTAAAGTGGAAGAGACTCACGCTCCGCGCTGCCGCTTGAACTGAAGCTGCTACAGTGATCTGTCACACCACATTTAAGCTCGTCAAAATGGCATTTATTTTTTGAATGTTGTGATAAAATATACAGAATTGGAAAGCTGAGTTTCTTATCAGAGGTTACAAAGCACAAAGCTCTTTGTGATAATTCGATTTGAGGCGCATTACAAATAATATTTTGTAAAGGGAAAACCGTGGAAGTTACCTGAAATAAAATATAAAAAAACTTAGTGTACTTAAGCTACTTTAGCTAACATTTCTCATTTTCATTTAGTTTAACTTGAAATAACTGAAATAATTAAAACTGATCTCCAAGAATCAGCAGCCAAACACTCCTTAAGCTCAAGCCCAGCGAGTGTCTAATGATAGCACAATCGAGTGGTCAACCTGCCGAGGGCCAATGCAAGAACTCCACCTGGATACAGAACAAACCACTCTGGAACCGGTGGCCTGGAGCTGTTCTCCAACGTAATGTTTACACATGCAAAGCTTTCCTCTCCTGCTCAAGCTGAGGAACCGCTGGGCTTTGATCCACATTTACTGCCATGATTCTCTGGGGGAAAAGCTTATGGAAATGCAAGCCGAGGAACAACGGAGTAACCTACGGCTGCTAGCTCAGCACTTTTAGTGCCTTTGAAAGGAACGTAGTGGGAGACTTTGGACAAATGTTGCTGTGGCAGTTTTAGCCGATAACATTTGTAAGCTGTCCCATACTGAGAATTTGTTGTATGAAGTGCCCACATGCTGTGCTTATACGTCAGATACAGATAAAATCAAATCAAATCAAATCAGCAGGTCTGTTCTAATGCAGTACGCAGAAAAAAAAAATCTTGGTTTCCAAGTAAAATTGCAAAAGATATATAAGAATAAAGCATGAAGTTACTGTATATATAATTTGATATTATAATGTCAAATTATATTAATTATATATTTTCTTATATTTTAAGCATAAACTGCCATTTGGTAAATACATTTAGTTGGTTTTATGCTTAAATTAAACCAACAAGACAAGATAGGCATGAATAATTAATGAAATAAGTTCAATTGTAATTTTATGATTTATAATTAATATAAAATTATATAATTTTATTAATTTATTAATTTTTTATTAAATACGTAATCATTTATATTCGTGTTAATTAGATTAATTAATTACGGTGAAAAATAACGCGTTAAAATTATTAACGCATTTAACGCACTTGCCTCGTCCCAGACCTACGTGGGTCATCTGACATTTCATACAGTTGATTGATTACAGATATGATGCAGGGCAACAACTCACTGCATGATGGAGCCTAGAGAACGTAGTTAAAATGTCCCTAAAATTCAAGATATGGGGCAAAAATGCCCCTGTTTGAGTTTTTGTCTCATATTTACATCATATAGCCTAGTTAAGCAATATCTCATGAGCAAAAAGCGCAATATCACACGAGTGCAAATGTGATACTGATCTTATACAACAGTTCAATAAATAAGAAGTTAATATTGTGTTATTTTAGATGCAAAGCTGTCTGTTTTGCTTAATTTTGCCAACGAAAATATAAAGACAAAACAGAATTGTTCGTCTCACAGCAACACGCAGCTGCATTTCATTTCTTAATGCACATTTTGAACGAACTGGGTGAATCATTAGGCGCGTTGGATCTGAAGCGGTGCTGCACAGATCGATCGGTGTACAACATCAAAATCCCGCAAGAGCGATTCAAAAGCATGCAGAGTCGTCTGCTCTCTAATCGCTCTTGCGGTACTTTGATGTCATACACCGAACGATCTGATGGTGATGATCCGCTTCAAGTCGAACAAGCCTAAT